ATGGGCGGGACTAACAGAGAGGAGAGATAAAAGAGCAGGAAGGCAGAAGGAGAGGCGGCCAGCCAGCTGCCAGCCACCCGCCAGGACAAGTAGCATGTGAAGATGCTGGTAAGCCACGAGCCGCGTGGCAAGGTATAGATTTGTAGAAATGCGTTACTTTAAGATATAGGAACAGTTAACAGGAGGCCTGCCACGGCCATACAGTTTGTAAGCAATATAAGTCTCTGTGTTTGCTTGGTTGGGTCTGAGCGGCTGTGGGACTGGCGGGTGACAGAGATTTGTCCTCACTGTGGGCAAGGCAGGAAAATTCTAGCTACAATGATCTACATGTTTTTTTCCAATTAACTCACTTTCATTTTTCTTTCTTTTTTTTGTTACAAAAACATTTTAAGAGAAACAATGTGACTTTCCAGTTGAGTCCAACTATAATTACTGCTCATGTCCTCCTGACAAAAGGGGTAGCCAACACCAAAAGTGACAAAGTGGCTAATTTACCACTTTCTCTGGTGGCAAAGCAGCTCAATCTCTACCATTTCTTGATGCCTTCCTAAATCACACCATGTTTCAAACTGATAGAAAAAAAACTAGCCATATAAATACATTTATTATACATACTGCAAAATGCTTTCTTTTAAATTTGGGACAAATGGGAATGTTAACTGGTGGAAATGCTTATTTATGTATTATTTAATACATGTAATAGAACAATATGACTAATATTTGAGACATTTGCCCAAGATCAGGGATATTTATACTTTTTACATATACATTTTTGGTTACTTTATGAATTTTGGGCTTAGTTTGTGTACATATTTTGTACAATGTAAGTTGGGGTTCGAACCCCAACTTACATTGTACAGGGGTTCAAACTCACAACTTCATGGTTGCTGGGTAAGTGCGCTACCACTGAGCTACACCAAAAACTTTCTGTGGCATTTCAGCAAATGGTGTGAAAACCCAAGGATAGAGGGCATCTCCAGATACAAAGTGGTTGCTGAACAGTTGGTCTTGTGGTCTTAGACAAAAGCACTGCTCGCTCTGCAATGGTGTCACTCTGCAGGTAGCTCTGACCTGACAGAGCCATCCCATCCCTAGTGTCACATGTGTTTCTGCTGAGGAAGAGCAAACAGGAACATTTCACTTCCCAAACCTATCACGCTCATCCCATCACCCGTCTCCCCGACCCTGGAACATGTCAGTTTCTCTGCAGTGGAGAACTTGGAGGGGACCTGAAATAAAGGTTGAAACACAAAGTCCTTTTCCATGCACTGAAAATCATAAAGGAAAGGGGATCAGAACACTCCGAAGGTCAACTCCAGAGCTGTCTATGGCACTAAAGACCAACAACACATCTCTTTCCTTTTTCAAGTTTTAAAATGAAAAACCCACTCACCCACAATACTCATGCAGAAACTGAAAATAGACTAGAGTGGTGAGAATTTAGATCTCCTCCATCTTTCCATAACATACTGAATTTTTTGTAATATCTCAACATTTCAAAATTTTTTTTGTTTTTACAAAACCTTTGAAGAAAAGCACTCAATGTGAGTGATTCCACTGGCCTTATAAAAGCTCCTGGTTTATAGAGCATCTTTGAGTAGGTTCTTCTGCCAATTCTTCCTCTACATCTCCATCCCAGTTTCCATTTCATAGTTCTTTGTCCTTTTGAATTTTTCTCAGGGAAGATATTATCATCACAATGAGAAAGGAAATTTATAAACAGTATACATTTCACTGAGTATTCGTAAACAACAGAACACTGCTTGGGCATGTAGATTCCTTATACATGAATCATAAAGTATGTCACACACATATTTGTGTGTGATAAATCTATCAAAAATAAGGAGGGAAAGAATCTTCGTCCCATTGTACATTATAACTAGAGGGTTATGCCAAACATGATGGGGCTCGTACGCGCAATCCTAGTAGTTAGAAGACTGAAGAAGGCGGGTGGCAATGAGTTCCAGGCCAGCATGGACTACAGAATGAGGCCCATTCTCAAATAGTAGGCAAAATGAAACAAAAGAAAACCACTGACCCCCTGAAACAATCAAGGGTCATAATATCAACCTGGGCACATTCTATCATAATTCATGTCATCCTGTATGATCTACAAAGAGCAGCCTGTTTTTCTCCGAGCATTTGAAACTTATCCACCTTGACTCATACGTCTCTTTTTCCTGTTGTGCAGCATCTTATTCATGAAAACACATCTGATTTACCTTTGCAAATCTCTAACTATCTTCTTTGCTTCTGTAGCTCTGCTCTACTAAACATTGCTTTTGGAGAAAACTGCATGCAAGCTCCTCAGAACACACATACTAAATAAGTAGCTAGAGGATATTGGGGTTATTGGATTATATATATTCAATAATATTGGGAAATGGAACTGAACAATTTTTTCTCACTAACAAAGCAAGAGATCATCCACATTTTCATCAATTGTTGAAACTGTCTCAGTTTACCATATGACAAGTGGTTGAGTATGATATAGCTCCCCCAAAGAAAATTATTTTGCTTTTGCTAAGGAATATAGACGGTTTTCATTTCTGTTGGCTATTCAAGTTTCTTCTTCATGGAAATGCATTCTCAACAGGTTCATGCTATTCCTCACTTTTGTACATTTTTCCTTCATTGGTGAGTATACATGTTTATACATTCAGTCTACAAGTCCATTGTGAAATGGTATTAACCTCTCAGTGTATGACATGCTTTGTTTAAAATAAAGCAACAAAATGGAGAGCTGACCTAATCTCTAGACTGTGAGAGTTTGAGGTGCTGAGAGCAAAGGTCAGTCTAATCCTAGAGTAGCTAGAGATACAGGATTATATGGTCAAGGTGGTGAAGTACGTCCGACAAAATGGGAAAATAAGGAATGAACAGATGAATAGGAATCATTACCAAGATGTGTTAGAAGAATGAAATGGTAAGTTTCAGTGTTTCTGCTTTACTAAAGCTCCAGTGAGTACATGGGCAACACAAAATGGACTTGTGTTTTTGTTTTGTGTTTCCTCCTTCTTTTGGGGGGGATCACAAGGGTGTGGACAAACCTGGGAGGACAGTGAAATGAGTATGATCAGGGTGAATGATGTGAAATTTCTAAATAATCAAAAATATTATGTTGAAAAAAAAAAGAGTTAACAGTCAAGGTGAACCTTCAAGTCACAGTGAGCTGGAGGACTGATAAACCGCTAGCCACATCATTGAAACAAATGTAAGAGTGGGCATCCTAGAGATGATGCCTCACTTAAAGAAATGAATCTGCAAATCCAAAAGGATTGAAATTCATGTCCACTTCTATTAAGAAGAGCAGAGGCATTAGGAAAGAACAGACAAAGACAGGTACCTCAGAAGATGAAGTTCTTTAGAGGAAAATTCAGATTCACAAGAACTCATCATCATCTGAAAGACATGGATCCTACATAGTTTACAAGATATCCATCAGAACTAAGAAAACAAACTAAAACCCGAATACCCCCAAGCACTTTGAATACCTCTAAAGCACAAAGAAAACCAGTGCACTAACAAGCACCTAAGGAAGCCACAAACCAAAACTTGTGATGATTGCAGTGATATCAGCTAAGATATCTACATTAAGTACATTCATCTTCTACTTTCCATAGAGAAATAAAAGAATGGATCCCTAAATTCCATCACATCAAGTACACAGTCCTATTTATTACTTGACAAAAGAGTTTTTGTTTTTCCAGAATTATGATTCAGCATAATGAAAAAGCTCACAGAAACTGAGCACCAACAGTTGTATCAGTTTTTAATGACTGTCTAGAGGAGTCAAAGGCCACACAAAATGTTAACATAGTGGGGAATGACAGAGCAAAAATGGGTGGTGAGAATTATCATTCCAGTGTGGTAGAGCATGCCAGAAAGCACCATGCTTGGGAGGAAATATCCAGAGTTCCAGAGCAACCTTGGCTTGAGGAGAACAGTGCTTCAAAACAACAAACAAAATTGACAGCAAAAGAAGAAAATGTCAGGTGAGGTAGCATACCTTATAATGCCGAGGTAGGAGCATCATGAATTTGAGGCCAGCCTGGGCTACATAGAGAGGCTCTATAAAAAAAAAATACATAAATAAATCAAATTCAGGAAGATGAGTAGAGAAACAAAGTTAAAAAAAGATGAGGTTTCTGCCTACATGTGATTCACTGTCAAAAAAAAAATTCCTTTTCCCTGGGTCCTTGAGGTTTTCAGTTTCTATGGTTTTATTCAGTCATGATTTGCAGTTTTTGCCAAAAACTGTTTAACCTTTGAGAAGCCAACTGGGTTCTG